AAGAGAAACCGGTTAAAGGTTTGCGAATTTAATATAAAATGGAAAGTTCACAGGGATCGCAGATACACCGGAAACATCATCAACCCAAGAGAACCAAGATGAACGTCATTCATATGATCAAATGCAAAGACTGTGACAAGATTTACACTGGGGAAACAATGAGAAGGTTGGACCAAAGGGTTGCAGCCTTGGAAAACGGAGCATTCATGCATCGTCTCACATGAAATCGGTGCACACGCAGGATAACAAAAGTCGAATGCAAAACGCTGTACGAGCTCGTATAATTTTAGTTACAGCTGGAATGTCATCGGCCAGCTTGTTCGGAAGAAGTGACGAAACAAACCTCTTTTTCACTCAAAACTCACTTTTCAATCCGATGTTGTTTTATTTGTGCAGTACAATACTGGTCAACAAGCTGGTGTGAGGCGTCGAAATCACATCATCCGTTTAAATTGAAGCTGTGAAAAAATATGGATCGAGTAATGAGGATCATTAATTGTTATCCAAGCAGGCAATGAATCGATACCTCCTTCCACAGCAGTCTACACTACTTCGTTGCAGTTCATCCTATGTTTCTACTCGACTCATTTTCGTCAATGGCGGCGCCACAGGCGAAGGTCGACTTTCTGCCATTCTTCTCGGAGTTGTGCGCTTTGCATTCAGCGTTAATTAAACGGCTACGTCACTGGATCATCCTAGCAAATCCATGGACGATCGAGTGGAAATCTGTCACCAGGGGATCTAGTTGGTAACTCAGGAGTGCACCTCATGGTCAGCACATTGTCTCTCTAAGTTGTAGGCTACAGTGAATACATCGAACTATCACATGATAGTTACACGCATAACATGATAACATAACATGATCTCGAAGGGACGCCTAGTATATTCCACTATACATCGCCCCTGGCGTTACAACCAGATTCTTTCCTTCAGCCATTCTGGTAGAGTACCACTCCGCGCAGTTAATCATTTTCGTGGACATGGGCAGTTCTTTATACAGCAACGATGTTTTGATGTAAATGAAACTTATCTATACTGCCTTCTTTCTTCCGCTAATCTCGCCAATTACGTTGTTACTAGAGTCTATTAGGCGGTCAAGGTATGCGTAGCTAACGACATTTTTTAATTCTTCGCCGTCAAGGAAGATGATACCCGCTGGGCAGTGCTTTTTCTGCATCTATATAGTCTTTAAGATGTTCACCTTCAGATCGATGGCGTGTGGCTTCTGCAATCGAATAATGAGTGTCTGGAGTTCTGCCGAGTCTTTAGCGAAGATGATTACATCATCTGCAAAGATCAGATGGGTGAACCGTTCTCCGTGGTTAATGCTGCGCCCCAGTTCAGACGGATAAACAGGAATTCCAGCGCCGTCAAGGAAAACTCAGTATGGACGCTGTCTCCTTGACGTAGTCCCCTATTCATCTTGATTCGACACGGTTCCTCTAACAGCTTCATGTAGGTTGCGGTGCCCGCATACACTTCTTCGATCAGGTCAACATAGACAAGGTCGATACCACAGTCGTACTAGGCATTGAGCGCTCAATTTGATGTAATTGGTGCATGCGTAACAGAGGAGAAATGGTATTCCTTGCACTGTTCACTGCTTCACGACATGGATGTGGGCCATGGTGAAGAACACTATTCGGAAGCCGATTTGTTTATTACTACTGAGCAATTCTAGGTCTTTTTGAGTATGGTTGAGGATGATTCAGGTAAAGATCTTGCAGACTTGTGACAAAAGAGTGGTGGATCGAAAATTCTGGAAGTCTTCAGCATCTTCCTTCTTGAGCAAAGGAATCGTCGAAGCGCTTTTCCATGCTTCTGGACTCTCCTTCCGCCTGATGTACTTTGTAAATGGTTCAGCAAAAGGTGAACAGGGTCATTCCTTCTAATTTGATGTTTTGGTTTATCCCGTCCTTGTCAGTACATCTGTCACTCTTGATATCTGATTGTCTACTCTAGTTCGTTTCAGGTTATATCGGTAACAGTATCAAGGACAATGTGCGGCAGCCTCCGGTTTACTTATCTTCGAAGAGTATAGGCTCTGGTAGAATTCCGTGCAGATAGCTTTCATGCGACAACGATCTGAAGCTTTTGTTCCTCCCTCGTCCCTTAGTACGACCGAAATCAGCTTATTTAAGAGGATTCCCTTATCCAATGCCTTTAGGCTATTCTTCTTAGCTCGTTCTCCTGTACTTGACCTAGTCTGCAGGATATTTTACCGTATTTTTATAGCAGTTTATAGTATACTGTAACTGATCTCTGGCGTGTTCAACAGGGTGGTATATGTGGCATCCACTCCATAGTCTCCAGGGAAAATAATGGTTATGCCAACGAATGAAGATGTTCGAACATCTGCTGCAATTACAGTCATTACGTCAGTATGCTCTGACATCACTGTCATATCATTTGTTCGAAATTATATAGTACGTGAAACAACTCAGGGCGTGGAGCAGAATGGTCTCATGTAGCAAATTTTGACGCAACGAATAAGGGTGAAAAACTCATGCTTAATGGAAGATGTGTTTCCCACAAAGAGAAAGAGGCAACCCGGTAAAAATAAAGTTGATGGGAATCTGCTTGATGGTAGAATGGGGACTATTTTGATACCGTTGAGACGTAACCTTCGAAAATTAAGTGCGTAAGAAAAGACAATTTCATACTCGTTGAGCGTATCGTCCCGGACCATCACTTTGAAAGTGTCCAGCGTAAACGATGCACTGTTTTCGACAAACTAAATAAAAAACATTATGTGAAATAATATTTCTGTGCAAAATATTTCACTAAGTAATCCGTTCAGTGTACGACAGGTCGATTATCTGGAAAACATTACACAGCGCCATTTTCCTTATTCAGCACATCAGCCATTAAGAAAGATACATAATTTTGCGGCGGCGTGGAGTTTGGTTCTTTAACAAAGTTTTTCGAATTACGGTCATCCTACAGACAGTAAGTAGCATAGGAAGACGCTTCAATTCATTACATAAATTTTAAATCTAAACATTTCTACACGCCATTGCGCTAAGCGATCAGCATCACCTTATGCGTGCAATAGAACACAGAAAGCACGAAGCTGCCGATGTACAGGACTTGCATTCTGAATATCGTGCTCTAAGGTTTAGAGACTGAAATATTTACAAAACTGACAGAGAATTGGAAATGAAGGAAACGAACATTTCGAGATTAATATTACTCAAATCTTTTGAAAGGAGGTAAATTGGAATATCCAACTAAAGCGAGAAGATGGCTGTAGGCAGCATGTTTAAGATGACGCGGCCATTTCCAATGGGAGAGAGCCTCCTTTCCAAGCGAATGCTGAACGCAAAGCATGATGCCAGGCGGTCGCAAGGAAGACCTGTAACAAAATGGGAAGATCTCGTTAGAACGGGTATGGCATCAAAAGGATTGGAGTGAACACGCATTTATTCGATCCAGGTGGAATGCATGTAAGGCATAACGGCGTCTCTTATGGCGATGGGAAAAGAAAAACTGGGGCCTTACCTCTTTCGGGTAGAGAGTTGGGCTCTGGTTTTCCTGGTAGCCGATGGCGTCGAATAATTTGCTCTTCTCTTCACTGGTCATTGCACTACGAAACTGGGCAGCAACGTCTTTTCCGTTTTTTTGCTGCTGACCATTGTCGCTCGACCACCAGCTGGACACCCACGACATCCAACCACTTTGCTCAGAAAGACGTTTAAGTCCGCGGCGATCCACCTGCAAATGAACGAACGGAAATTAACCGCGACCATCACTTCGTCAAAGTCAGTCATAAAACCCTGCTAAGGGAGTGAGCAAATGGTGATTCCTGAAATGTCAGTCAGAAACACACAGACAATGTCTTCTGTGATCTGATCTTGTTTAATACTGTAACAATGGACATAACTCTCCTAACAGGCATTTTCTAATAATATGATCAGATGCACCACAGATTCTTGAACATCTAAAACGGCTGCATCTCAGCCTTCGAATGCGGCGTTTCAGTATACGACTTATAAACGACAAACCATAAGGCTCAAGATTTACTCAAGTTTTAACTTGTAAATCTGATGCCCTATGGAACGGGTCATTAAATAAACCGGTCACTTATTTTCAGTCTTGTTTTTAAAAAATGTTAGCTAATTTGCTATTTCTTAAAATGGAAGAAAATATTTGACATAGATTCCATTTAATAGCAAGCTAAATCATGTTCAGATTAGACCTTTGGGAAGCTCATTTAATCTATTTACTGCATCGTTTTGAATTAAACCTGATCCGCCCTCAAAAAAACATTATGTTCTGTAAAATAAATAGAATCAAAATATCCTAGATCCAAACATGACGCTGCATACGTGGGTGGATTCCGTAAAAGAGTAGCACTGAAAATTAAGAACTGGAATGATGCATGAAAATGTTTATGACAATCATGATATATCAATCATTATACTGCACGTTTCTTTACAGTACTATTTTTATACACTATAAAGAGTCGCAAACGCATAAGATTCTAAGAAAATTGAACTCATCTTCGATTTTGTTGTGGTATTTCTCGACAAGAGCAACTTACTTCGATTTCCGCCTGTTGCCGCGCAATGTTTAAATTGAAAACGTCTAGGTAGTTTTCGGCGTCCTAATAAAGATAAAAATATAAGAATGCTACTTTTTAAACAAAATAATACCTCGATCCGCTTTAGCACTTCGCTCGACAGCTTTCTCACGGTAAGCTTACTAATCCACATATTTCGGTACTCTTTCAGTAACTGGCGATGCTCCCTTATGTGATCCCAAGACCAATTCCTAGCTTTTCGCCGGATGTCTTCGTTTAAAATACATGTATAGGCAAAATGCCACCTAAAAACAGCATTGGGCTATACCAGCTAAACGTCGATGTTATGAATTACACAGAGCAAAATAAAACTGTTATTACCCCCATCGTGTAGTACATGAGCGACTCAACAGTTGGCGAATAGCTTCGTGCCAAATGAAGCGCAATGCATAATACTTACAGAGCGATAATTGATATACCTCGTTCAAATCATAATAATGTTGGGCAGTGAATAACTAGATAGTAGCTCTTCCATTTGACGTCGTGCTTAGTAGGGTGAAAACAATAAAAGTAATCACTGTTTTATGTATCAGTTTCATGCGAACGAACATCGATTCTTATAAAGGTATAAAAAAGTTATGCATCATGCTACACTTGGTAAGTTGACTGTCTTGTTGATTTTATGCGTCTCGGTTTAAACGCCTCTTATTAACTCACCTCATTATGCAGAAATGTGAATCAAAAACGCCACCATTACCAATTCGACCTCGCTTAAATGTGATATGAAGCGACTACATGTTTAGCAGCGTCATCTTAAAACAGTGTCGACAGAATCAACGATCGCTGCTGTAACGGTTGTATCGGTCTCGGGCAGCGTGGGAAACATGTTCTGAGTCAACTATGTCATTATCCTTCATTAATCTCATGTTCGGCTATTCTGGTTTTTCAACCAATATAAACTTTGGCTAAGCAAATACAGTGACAGTTATTACATAAAATTCGATCGAATGCATATCACCTGTCCGCGACCCGAAAGGAGAAGCGGCGATGGAAGACGAAGATGAAGCATATCAGCTACTCATGCTGAAGAGAAGATAAAATTTCTTACACAGTTTTATTATGCGCTGTTCCTGCAAAATAATATATTAAACCAGTAGCTTTTTTAACAATCGCCGTAATTTTTCAAGCATGCCTAGAACTTGAGGCACTGAAACATTAAAATTGTAATGAATAAGTGGGTGAGGTCAACCCTAAGAAGTTTATGCATAGCGTCAGTGAAATAATTGCCATTCTAAGCCCTTACTATTCTTCAAGATATTAAGAAAAACTTTCATTGCATCACTAAGCAGATCAGCATCCGTGCAATATACAAACGCTCCAAGGCGGGTGAATTGACAATATCTCTAAAATTTGGTTTTGGAATGCAAGACGAAGTATTAGGATGACGGCTAGAATGCCATGACATTGTACATACTGCGAAGAAATGAGCCATCATCGTTATGTTGAAGCAAAACGTCAGCAAAACAGAATGCACTATTTTTAAGAACGAGAAACTTGCAGAAATCGGCCGGTGTTGAGGAATGAAGTTCTGTTCAGCAATCCTGAATCATGGTTAAGCTAGAACTAAGTTTGAAGACGACGACGAGTGTATTTAAGTCGGTTTTCGTTTCCATTCTTATGCATCATTATAGGTCATGAATAATAACCGAAGAATTACAATCACAGCAGAGACTGCGGAAATTGAATTTCAGCAGGAAATCTGCAAGGCTAACGCGTCTCAACGTAGTAGAGAGCGGTCGCAACTACGATGGTCAGAGTATGCCTGCGAATGCCACTGAGAATTCCAAGGGTAGAGACGGCCGAAATGCAATTCCTTGTTCGACCGACAGGAAAAAGAAGTAGAAGAAGGTGCGGAATGACTCAGAGCAGACAAGTTAATGAACTATGATCCAGGATCGGGATGTATCCTGGCCACGCTAATACACTTATGCAATAACGTGAACGTAGGAGACACTGTCTGACATGGCTAGCCCGCGACATAAAAAGACTTCTCAACTGTAAGTATAGAGGCCACCTTGCAGAAAGGCAGCCTGTTCGTAACGTTATAACATATATCAATCAGCAGTACAGTCCACGCCAGCAGCCAATGCATTTGCCGTTTTCTTCCAGGCAGAAGATAGATGGACGATGTGGCAACGAGTATGAATTGTGGCGTTAGAAATATGGTTGATAAATCATGTCGACTAGATGATTTTAAACACCAGTAGTCAAAAGATTATAGTTTCTAAGATTTTTAACGCCCAGTTCCCATACCTTTGAAGAAAGATGGGGTGGATGGCGTGCTGAAGAACTCGTAACTTAGTCTTCAGACTCATCTCCCGTCGTTTCCATAAACGATGGGAGATGGGTCCCGGAAACAGAAGATGCCCTTTGCTGCTGCTATCAGAGCCGTGATTTGATCTTCAGACAAACGGAAGGAGAGGCTATCGGACTATTTGTGGAAGCAGTACATAAGACGGTGAGATTTTATCTTGAGTTGGAGTTCCTTGGGATAATATTTTTGTTTTGCTGTGCTGATTACTAGTTCCATTGCTACAAGCAGCCCTTTAAAAGTATATTGGGTATCGTCAAAGTTCGACGACATAATGGCGATGTCGTCGGCATAGTCGAAAACAGCAATTTAATGACCAAGACGAACTTCCTGGCCAGTGAAATCCTCCACTGTTGTTTGCATGAAAATTAATTTCAATCAATCTGAGGTTGAACAGATGAAAGGAAACGACGCAGTGGGGAGGGACGCTAGAACCAACGTCAAAAAAGCCCGTCAATTCAACGTAAGCCCGGACTCG